CCAGACCCGGTCCGCATTCTAGTTAAAACGACTTCTTCCGTCAACATAGCCACTGACTCTAACATAAACACCTAGTAACCGATTAGCAGTTAACTGCCACACAAAGTGTGAAGTCTTTACAACCTTTACCTTAGCTAATCCTCATCATAACCTCATGAAATGGGTGCCATCGTCTTGACTGCCTGGATAATGAAGCTGAAACCCAAGTTCAACCAGTAAGACTATAGAAGCCAGTACGGAGCCAGGACTCTTGTCTTTAGGTAAGCTGCCAGGTTCCTATAACCACTGTCATTGACCAGGGCAGTAAGTGTAGGTGATACCCATTCACTATTAGCTCACAATTAATCATTAAGAGCCCGTAAGGTGCCAGATGCTTGCAATAGGTTAAGGAACAATTGTTTCATGGACTTAGTCCTGTGACCACGAGGAGTTTTTACATGCATTCAGGCTATTAGGACTAAGAGATGAAGTTTTCAAGCTTGCCCCTGCGGGAGACATCGTTTCCAAAGACCAGTTTACTCCTTGCAGCACACAAATATTCTATGGTTGTAGAAACAACTGCTGTAATACATGTAATACCACCCCATGCACCGATACTGGGGTGGTTTGCATGAGATGTCTCTCATAGTTTCAGACGTTTGAATGCTTGGTCCCCAGTTGGTCGCCCTGACTGGAGAAGCTTAGGAAGTGTAGCCTTGCTGGAGTAAGTATGTCACTAGGGGCTGAGTTTGTTTCAAAAGCTACCAACCATTCCGAGTTTGCTCTTTGCTTCCGGTTTTCAGTTTGAGATGTGAGCTCTCAGTTGTTCCTGCCTCCATGCCTGACTATTGCCAAGCTTCCCTGCTGTGCCAGTGATGGACTCTCATCCCTCTGGAACCATTACCCACCCCACTCCACCCCCCCCCCCGGGGGGGGGCAACCTTCCCTTGCCTTGGTCATGGTGTTTTATCACAGCAACACTAACTAAGTAACTAACACAGGCACTCTGATTTCTCCTGGCCGCACTGTATGAAAGGGGCCTTCACTATGCCTTCAGGAAGACATGTTTAGCACCAGAGACAGGGAAGCAGGGAAGCCCAGTGAGGTCTATAAAGCAAACCTTGTTAAAGTGATCCTTGTCTTCTTCAGTGCTACACTAGCTCAAGCCCCTCTGTCATACCACGTTTCCAGAATTCACTACCTGCCTAATCAGCATATGATGGTCTAGCGTAAGTTTTATTTTTGCTTCTTCATTTCCTCCTGAAATCTGTCATGTGAAACTTAAATTTATGTTTTTCTTTCATTTATCTGTCTTTGTTATGAAGTTGTATCCAAAGCCAGGCTGTGGTGGCACACTGGGGAGGCAGAAGCAGGTGAATCTCTGAGTTTGAAGCTAGCTTGGTCTACAGAGTGAGTTCCAGGCCAGCCAGGGATACACAGAGAAACCCTGTCTTAAAAAAACCAAATGAAAAAGCAAACAAAAACCAAATTCTATTCAAGAACCCAAGATTACCAGAGGAAAGATTTTTTTTCCTTCTCCTTATTGGCTAAGTTATAACAATTGGCATTACATAGAAATCTGAATGTAAACATAACCTGGTCCTGTTTGTCTTTCAGATGATTCCCCTTGATTACTATTTCCGCTCTTGCTATGCTACTTACAAAAGCCTCAATGCTGCCCTGTCTCACAGCTCCATATGGAGACAGCATTTCACCAGAGTCCATAACCTTCTCAAGCTACGTTCATAAGCTCAGTTCTCACAGAGACTGCCATTTATCTCTGTGTCCTCTGAAGTAGAATGGCTAGCACAAACTGTCACCTAACATTTGTTGAGTGGCTGGCTGAGTGAAGAATAAATGGTAATAAAGAGAGAATTGGAAAGGTAGAGATGAGACCAGGCAGGGAGAGTTTATTGCAAAGCCACAGGGTCCTTGCACGTGCGCTCTCTCAGTTCACATTAGAAGTATTGATATTGATATTGAAGTATTGTGTGCATATGCAAATGATGTGGAGGAGGGGAGGCTTGCATCACCTCGTGTGTGCGTGCGGAGGTCAGAAAGCAACGCTGTGACCTCCAGTGCTCTTCTTTCACCCTCAAGTGCTTCCCAGGGATTGAACTCGGATTGTATGGTTTGTCGGCAAACACCTCACCAGCCCCAATCAGTTTACATTAAAAACATATTTTATGTGTGAGCGTTTTTCCTTCCTGCATGTATGTGCACCATGTCCATGCTCAGTGCCCATGGAGGTCAGAAGAGGGCATCGGGTTCCCTCTGGAACTGGAGTTACAGATGGCTGTGAACCACCATGAAGGTGCTGGGAATTGAACCTGGGTCTTCTGCAAGAACAGCAAATGCTCTAAACCACAGAGCCACACCCCTGTCCCCCTCCCAGTTTACATTTTAAAAGGATTTATTTTTATTTTATGTGTGTGAATGTTTTCCCTGCATGCATGCATACGCAACACATATGTGGAGGTCAGAAAAGGGCCTTAGGACCTGTGGAGCTGGGTTACAGGTGGTTGGGATCCATCTGTGTGGGTGCTGGGAATCAAACCTGGGCTCTAAACTGCTGAGCCATCCCTCCAGCTCCAAGTTCACGTTTTCAATGTTTATAAAAACATGACTTGCCTGCCCGGAACCATTTGCTCGCTGGGGCTTTAATGGCATATTTGGCCCTGACAAAAGGGAAATGTTTGCAGGAGGGTTGTTTGTTAGGGTTGGAAGTTTCCCTTGGAGTTGGGCTTCTGAGTCTTTTCCTTGCTGTTGTTGCATTTGAAAAGTCCCTAAACAGCCTCGTGCCCAGATTTGCTATCTATAAAACCTGTGATTTGACATTTAATAGAAGATAACTGTAATTTGAGCCTTTTGTTTGAAAAGCATTCTAAAAACGCAGCTGGTGCCAACCTGCAGCAGCAGCTGTGACAATAGCAGCCCCTGGTGGCAGAAGAAGGAATGTCTTCTATCGATCATTTGTGGTTTGCAACTAGGGTAGGCCGGGCTGAAACGGTTCTCTGTCCAGTGGTATGTGGCAGAATATACCACCACCCCAAATGCCACTTGGCATAAGGACTATTTTGTGTTTAAAGCAATTAAGAAAGAGTGGGTGCCAAAAGGCTATCAGATGGCACCATTTTACTTTATTAAAGCAGGAAATAAAATCTTCCGTTGGAAATGGTCTCTTTATACCGGAAAGGTTCTATCTATTTATTTATTTATTTATTTATTTATTTATTTATTTATTTATTTATTTATTTATTCATTATTTGTTTGTTTTTGAAACAGCATGTCTTTGTGTTGCCCTGGCCATCTTGGAACTTGCTCTATAGACCAGGCTGGTCTCGAACTCACAAAGATCTGCCTGTCTCTGCCTCCCGAGTGCTGGGATTAAAGGCATAGGCTACTACGCCTGACTAAGAAAGGTTCTTTTCAATGTCGAGAAGTTGAGACTGAGAAAATTCTGTACAAACAGACCTTGATAAAAAAATAACCATTTTTTCCCTTAAGTTCCTCTGCCCGCCCCCTCCCCACACACAGAGAAAGAGAGAGAGAGGAAAAAAAGAGGGAAAGAGAAAGAGTTTGGTTTCTTTTTCATAATCTCTTTGTTCAATTTAATATGAAAGCATTTAGGGGTTGCCAATTTGTGGGTCCTTATGAGGACTCCCACACCATTAAATAAATGTTTACATTTCCCCCTGTTGAATTGCATATCCTATACTAGCTGTGTGTGGTGGCTCATAGCTATAGTCCCAGTATTTAGGAGGTAGAGGCAGGAGAGTGTGAGGCCATCTTAGTCTACATGGTGAGTTTCATGCTATCCTGGGCTGCAGCCTAAGTACAGACCCAGTTTCAAAGAAACCAAAGCAAAGCAGACAAGGAGAAGTGGTGACTTGGAGTTCTCAGGGTTTGTGGAGAGGCTTCGGACGGGGGTAGACTCCACGTGAAGGACTTTTACAGTTTGCAGATAAGGTAATCTGAAGCTTTAGCAAAGGACGGAAGCATCCTATAACATAAAAACGTTTGAAATTAAAAAAAACCAAACAAACAAAAGTTTGAAATTATCATGGGCTTATGCTGGTTGCTTTTTGCTGTGATAAAGTATCTTATCTTAAGGGAGGGAGGGTTTGTTTTGCCTCACAGGTGAGGGGGCGGCCGTCTTGGCTGGGAATTCTTGGGAACAGGAGCAAGAGGCAGTCAGCCGGTCACTGTGCAGCCACTGCCAGGAAGCAGAGTGGTGAGTGCTAGTATTCAGTTCATCTTCTCCTTTCTATGTAGTTCAGAGTTCCAGCCCAGTGACTGGTGCCGCTCACCTCAGTTAACCTAATCCACACAGCCTCTCACAGAGATGCCCATAGACTTGTCTCCTGGGTCCTTTCTACTTGATAATCAATGTTAAATTAACCACCATAGGAGGCCCACAGCTTTTCTCCATAATGTAGACTACGTACTGAAAACCCTTGAGGCACTTCCTCCTCCTCCTCTTCTTTCTTCTTTTCTTCATCTGCTCCTCCTCCTCTTCCTTCTCCTCCTCTTCCCCCTCCTCTTCTTTCTTCTTTTTTTTTCTTCTTTGTCTGCTCCTTCTCCTCCTTGTCTTCCACCACCTCCTCCTCCTTGGTGGCAATGCTGGGGAACTGAACCCAGAGTCTCATGCATCCTAGGCAAGACACTGGTTTACATCCTGAACCAAGTCTTCAGTGGAGCTGTCTTCAGGCTGAGTGTGAAGTTCCCAGAATGCAGCTCTTTGGAGCTGTCTCTTCTGCCATGATGGGCTTTTCAATGATGCAGCTGCTCTGCCCTCTCATGTGGCGTATGCTCCTGTAGATAAAAGCCCCTCACCCATGTTTGGGCTTCATAAAAAGCCAAGTAGCAAGTCTCTCAAAAATAGACAAAATAAAAACAAGCCAAGGGCTGGGATGTAGCCCAGCTGTAGATTATGTTAGCCTATGCAAAGCCTTGGGTTCAGTCCCAAGTACTCAAAAGGAAGAAAGAAAAATAATTTTGATTTTAGGAATACTACAACATTACAATAAAAAATATTTATTTGTATGTGTTCATATATGTCTGTGTATGGGCATGTGTGTGTGGAAGCTGTGTGCACACTCTCAGGCCAGAAGAGGGCATCTGGTGTCCTCTTACATTTCTGCCCTTTCCTTTTGATGCAGGTCTCTTCCTTAACCTGGAGTTTGCATCCCCCCACCCCCAGCCCGCTGGAAGGCAGCAAGCCCTAACTGTTTTCCTGCTTCGCCCGAATCAGAGCTGGGGTTACAGGCATGGGCAGGTTGCCGGGCTGGTTGCCTGGGCGTTGGGATGTGAACTCTTGTCCTTGAGCTTGTGCACAAGCGCTGTTAACTGCAGAACCATCATCTCTCCGGCTCCCCAAGTGACAGCATTATTTGTATACTGGACATTCTTCTGAAAGAAAAAAGTAAAAATAATCCTCAGTTGCTGAGAAATATACACAATAATCATGTTGGTAAAACCTACCAGACTTTCTATGTAGGTTAATAGATTCAAATATAGAAACTTGAGGGATATATTTTAATATAGATGAGCAGCATTAATATTTTTAACATATGAAGAACTCTCGAACCCACTGATGGTTCAGTAGGCAAGGGCATTTGCTGCTAAGCCTGATGACCTGAGTTTGATCGTGGACCCCACATAGTGGAAGGAGAGCACTAAATTCCCAGTCCTGTTGTCCTCTGACCTCTACACACATATGGTGGCAGCTACTCATACACATATATACACACTATACACACGCGCAGTAAATAAGTGCTAAAAACCAGCTCTTAGCAATCAGTGAAGTGACAGGAACCTTAGAGAAAACAGGCAAGTAGGGATGTAAGCAGTCAAAATATGTCCAGGTAAGTATTCACTCTCAAAATTTCAGAAACGGGGCCAGGCTGGAGAAACGGCTCAGGGGTTAAGAGCACTGACTGCTCTTCCAGAGCACCTGGGTCCAGTTCCCAGCACCCACATCCGGTGGGTCACAGTCTCCTGTAACATCATTTCCAGGAGACCCACAGCCCTCTTCTGACTTCCCTAGGCACCTGCCTGCAGGTGGGGCACATGCATACACTAGGGAACATGCACATAAAATGAATAAACAAATGTTCAATGAAAAGAAAAGAAATGGAGCCAGAGAGATGGCTCAGGGGTTAAAGGCACTTGCCACCAAGTTTGACCACCAGAGCTCAGTCTCTGGGGTCCACGTGGTAGAAGAGAACCCATTCTTGTAATTTGTTTTTCAACCTCCACACAGATTCTGTGGCATGTGGACACACACACACACACACACACACACACACACAGACAAACACACACACACACACATACACACACACACACACACACACACACACCACATGAAGTAGATGTAATGAAAACTTGAGAAAACAAAACACGGCAAGATAATCTTTTCTATGTGTCAGTGGCAAACACCACAGAGAATACTTTGGCCATGGCTTTTAGGTGAAGATTTGGAAGTTACGTGCTTAGGAGTGCTGTTCTGTCCAGCTCGATACCTTTTTGCATCCTTTTCTATCCATTCTTTGCAAGCTTTTTTGTTTGTTGTTTTGTTTAAGATAGGATTTCTCTATATAGCCCTGGCTTTCCTGGAACTCACTATGCAGAACAGGCTGGCCTTGCCTCTGCCTCCTGGGTGTGGGGACTAAGAGGTGTTCGCCACCACACTTGGCTTTTGCAATCTCTATAGGAACATTGAACACAAAAGTATAGTTTGTCTTTAGGGTTGTTTTTCTTGGATCCACAAAAACATTTCTGAAGTTGCCTTTTAGGAAATAATGGATAATGTACACTTCGTTCAGGACTTAACAGTGCACAAACAATGGCAATAGGATTTCTTAGATTAGGTCTGAAATGTCGATATAAAAACCGATTTGAGCCAGGCATGGTAGCACATGCCTTTATCCCAGCACTCAGGAGGTAGAGATAGGCAGATATTTGTGAGTTGGAGGAATAGGCTGGTCTGCATAGTGAGTTCCAGGCCAGTCAGGGGTCTATAGTAAGTTTCTATTTCAAAACCAAAACAACAAATATACAACAACAACAACAAAAAAAAAACAAACAACAACAACAACAAAAAACACCTTTGTGTGAGGTCTCTGCAAACATCAAGGCAAGCTCTAGAATGAGATACAGCCACCCGAGTTACGGAGTTAGAGCTCATACATCTCATCAAGCGATCTTTGAGCGCCTTTTGGGGTGAAAAAGGACACAGTGAAAGCCCGGTGATCCTAAGGGAAACTCAACGGATCGGCTGTGGTCGAAGCAGTGGACGCGTGTGGCAGAGCAAGAGCGAGGACCGCTTATGCTGGCTAGTGGAGGAACTCGGCTTCGCGCTCCGCGGTGCCTTGGCCAGCTTTTTCGGCCCGTCTCGGCCGCCGTAGCGGAGGCACGATCCGCCGCGGGGCGGAGGGCGCTCCCTGGCCATGGCGGGCGAGCTGGAGGGCTGCAAGCCCCTGAGCGGGCTGCTGAGCGGCCTGGCGCAGGGCGCCTTCCACGGACACGCGGGGGTCACCGAGGAGCTGCTGCACAGCCAGCTCTACCCGGAAGTGCCCCTGGAGGAGTTCCGCCCCTTCCTGGCGAAGATGAGGGGCATTCTTAAGGTACCGCCGTCGGAGCGAGCCGCCCTGCCCTCCTTGCAGCCTCAGGCCCGCCCCCCGCCTCGGTGCCGCTCGGTAGCGGCTCTGCGGCTCCCCCAGAGCTGGCTTCGCTGTGGGGACACACCCCGGTGAAGACCTTGCGTTTTTAAATCCCTCCAGACGCCTCCGTGTCTGTAGTTAGAGAAGTTTCGAGTTTTCTCCGTCCCTGCTTTTCTAAGATTGATTGGTTGCAGCAGGGCGTGGTAGTGCACGCCCTTATCTCTGGTGGCAGAGGGCTGCGTGAGTTCGAGGCCAGCCTGGCCTACATAGCGGATTCCAGCACAGCCAAGCCAGGCAGGGCTACCAGAGAGACCCTTGTTTGAAGAGAGTGAGAGCGCGCTTGACAGCTTTCCTGCGTTGTGGAAGTTGGGGAGCGTTAGAATGTTAGATAAAGGATAGATTAGCTGGAGTAAACGCCATTAAAGAATCGACTTTATGGTGAAGAGTATATTTACCAAGTGGAACGAAGTTATACATCAGACTGTCTCATGAAAACTGTCAGGTGGAAACGTAACAGGTGAAATTAATTTAAAAAGATTTATTTTTGTTTTTTGTGTATGAGTGTGGTGCCTGGTGCTTGCGGAGGCCAGAATAGGGTGCCAGGTCACTTGGAATGGTTGTAGGTCACCATGTGAGTACTGGGAACTCAGGATCTTTGAAAGAGCATTAAGTGCTCCTAACCGCTGAGCCATCTCTCTAACCTCCACCCCGGTTTTGATAGAGGATCTCTGGTAGTCCACACTGGCCTTGAACTCACTGTGTACCTGAGGATGATCTTGAGTTTCTGATCCTTCTGCTTCCATTTACCAAATGCTAGAATTACAATCATCTGCGACCACACCCTGCTGTGGTGTGTGTGTGTGTGTGTGTGTGTGTGTGTGTGTGTGTGTGTGTGTGTGTGTGATGCATATGAAGGCTAGGGGTCTATGCTAGTGCCTTGCACTATCACTCTCCACCTCTTTCCAGAAAGGGGCCCTCACTGAACCTGGAGCTCACTGATTGGCTAGGCCAGCCAGGAACTCCAGAGATGCTGGCCTTTGCCCTGCCAGTGTGGCGGAGGGGCTTGGGGGGGACGTGCCCAGCCTTTTCATGAGTGCTGGAGATCCGAACCAAGCTATCTGCCCAGCTGGTTTCTGTGATTTTTCTTTTTTTAGTAAGATGTTATAATTCTCTAACTAGTATATTCAAAGTATTACCATCTATGTAACGACTATACAGTGTATTGTTTTCACAAAGTCTTTAACATATGTGTATTTTACATTTAAAACATTTTTAGCTGCAGCTAGCCACATTTCAAATGATTAAAGTGGTCACATGTGGCTAATGACCATATTAATTTAGTCTGATTTAAACCAGCATTAGTCATAGGAATGCTTCTAGTGCCAAAGTGTAAAGGAAAGAAAAACTAAAAGTAATGTATTTTTTAACCATAGTGAGCACCTACCTATTTTGAAGATTAGAGCATGGGGCTGAGGGGACGCTGGCTCAGTTGGTCGAGTGCTTGCCACGCAGGCCTGAGGACCTGAGTCCATCCCCAGAACCCATAAAACGCCGGGTGCCTGGAATCCAGACCTTGGGGAATCAGAGCCAGGAGGATCTCTAGGCCTTCCTGGCTAGCCATTCTAACCCAGTCTGTTTACTGCAGGTTCAGTGAGAGACCCTGCCTTAAAAAATAGAGTGGAGGGGGGCTGGAGAGACGGCTCAGTGGTTAAGAGCACTTGCTGCTCTTGTAGAGAACCTGGGTTTGGTTCCTAGCACTCATGTGGCAGCTTACTACAGTCTGTCACTCCAGTTCTAGGAGATCCAGCACCCTCTTCTGGTCTTCACGGGCACCGGGCACTCACACACTATACTTACATGCAGGCAAAGACACTCATACGCATAAAATAAAAATTATCTTAAACAAAATGAAGTGGTTAGACTGGGGAGATGGTTCATCATGGAAAACACTTGCTGTGCAAGTGGGAAGGCCTGGGTTTGGATCCTAGCACCCAGGAAAAGCCAGGCATGTTTGTAACCCAGCAGTTGGGAGGTGTAGAAAGGCGGAGGTCCAGGCCTCACTGACCAGCTGGCCAGCCCAGCCAATTAGTGAGCTCTGGGTTCAGTGAGAGACCTGGGGCCAGACTAGCAAATGAGGCCAGGGAGATAGCTTAGCAAGTGAAGGCCCTGGCTGTCAAGGCTGACAACCTACGTTCAATGCATGGAATCCACATGATAGAAAGAGAATTGTGACAAGTTGTTCCCTGGCCTGGGTGTGTGCGCGCGCGCGCGCGCGCGCGCGCACGCACACACACACACACACACACACACACACACACTTACCCAAAAAGCGGAGAGCCACTGAGGAAGATAGCTGATGTGGGCCTCTTGCCCCCATATGCACACAGATAAGGAAATAAGGTGTCTTAACAGCCTAAAAACACACCATTTAAAATTAGTGTTAAAATTTAATTCGCCGGATGGTGGTGGTGCACATCTTTAATCCCAGCACTCGGGAGGCAGAGGCAGATGGATCTCTGTGAGGTCAAGGCCAGCCTGGGCTACAGAGTGAGTTCCAGGAAAGGCATAAAGCTACACAGAGAAACCCAGACTCAAAAATTTTTTTTTAACTTACTATTAAAAATATTTATGCTTTTATTTATTACATTCCTTTGTCTGTTTTTCAAGACAGGGTTTCTTTGTGTAGTCCTGGCTGTCTTGGAACTTACTCTGTAGACCAGGTAGACGAAGCTGGCCTTGAACTCAGAGATCCACCTGCCTGTGGCTTCTGAGTACTGGGATCAAAGGCGTGCGCCACCACCTAATAATTTTTCTTGCACTATTTGAATACAAGAACACATGCAGTTACTTCACAGGAATGGACTGGAACGGCTCACGCAATGGGAGGAGTGACATCTCGGTCACTTGTGGTGGTAAAGTGTGTCAGAGTGGTGCAGGCCTGATATGGCAACACCCTGGGGGGACAGGACCTGGACTGAAGGCCAGCTTAGGTTTTGTGCATACGTAGCTCAACAAGCCAAAGGCTGGGGATGTAAAGCACTTGCCTAGCCTGGTTAATCAAGGCTCTAGTTTTGAGCCAGCACCATCAAAATATAATTTGAAAAGTCTCAGTATGATTGTGGACATCTAAGCAATTTTATTGGTATCATATGCCATGACTAGATGCCTTCTATTTTATCAAATCTTCAAGTAATCTGGGAAGATTTTCTGGGGAATTTGGTATCTGGTTTGGTGTTTCCTTGGTCCACAAGGAAGAGGATAAGGGATTGTAGGCCAGGAAGAAATGCACATATTACAGGCAGTATCTTAGGATCTAATGTCGACCCTACTGCTTATCTCTAGATGATTCTTTGATTTATTATATAGTGATAAAATTTGCCAAATAATGCACAGAAGAGATTGTTTGCAAGCTGTCTCTTTTATTTCATTTGAAATATGTTGCTAAGTAAGATGCAGATACTCAGGTTTCCCGAGAGGGTCTGGGTTGTAAAGCCAGCATGACTTTTGGCACCTACAGTGGGCAGCGCTTCCACGAGTGGCGTAGGGCAGCACAGGCTCTGCAGTGATTGGTCGGAGTGCCAGGAGAGAAGCCTTGTCAGCGAGACTGGAACGTGTGCTCAGGGTGACTTCTGTCTCAAATCACTTTTTTATTGTATGTATTTATGTGTGCCTGTGCAGGTGAATGCAGGTGCCTGGAGAGGCTAGGGATGTTGGATCCCCTGGAACTGGAGCTACAGCTAGTTGTGAGCTGCCTGATGGGGGTTGCCGGGATCGGAACTCAGGTCCCCTGAAAGAGCAGTGCACACTCTTGACCACTGAGACAGCTCTCTAGCCCCAAATGTCTGATTCTTATGAAAACGTAGAGTGCAAATGTAATTTATTTATTTATTTTTGTTTTTTTTTTTTTTTTTTGAGACAGGGTTTGGTTTCTCTGTGTAGCTTTAGAGCCTGTCCTGGAACTTGCTCTGTAGATCAGGCTGGCCTCGAACTCACAAAGATCTACCTGCCTCTGCCTCCCGAGTGCTGGGATTAAAGGCGTGTACCACCACCACCTGGGCAAATATGATTTTTAAGTAGAGAATGTCTACTCTTTAAATTTTATATTCATATATCTGTTTATTGTGTGTGCATAGGTCAGAAGATCACTTATTGAATGAGTCGGCTCTCTTCTTCCACCATGTGGAGTTGCTTTTGTGTTTGAGATGGGTCTCATTATATAGTCTTGGCTGGCCTGGAACTCACAGGATCCATCTGCATCTGCCTCCTGAGTGCTGAGGAAAGGTGTGCGCCACCGGATGGGTTCTGGGGGTCTAATCCAGATGCTCAGGCTTGGCAGCAGGTGTCCCTACCTGCTGAGCCATCTCACCAGCCCATCCATCTTTAATAAAAGGGAACATATCATAGATATGTATGATGTAAGGACGTTATATTTACAAACAGAAGTGAGTAAGCCACTGTGGACAGTTTTTTCTTTTTAAACTAAAAGAGCTAACATTTTTATTCTCACAGTTCACGATACAAATGAAACTACTTGCCGGGCGGTGGTGGCGCACGCCTTTAATCCCAGCACTCGGGAGGCAGAGGCAGGTGGGATTTCTGTGAGTTCGAGGCCAGCCTGGTCTACAGAGTGAGATCCAGGAAAGGTGCAAAGCTACACAGAGAAACTCTGTCTCGAAAAACCAAAAAAAAAAAAAAAAAAAAAAAAAAATCCCTCTTCTCCCCTCCAAAACTGTTCCCTATGCTAGATAGGGGGAGAGGTTTTCCTTGTCATGCCACTATAAAACATCCAGGTGCAGCCCCATATCTCCTAGTGAAACAGACAAACAGCCCTGATAACCCCCTGCCCTTATCTGAGTCATGCATGCCATGCCAGGCGAGCACCATCTCATCATTGGAGGCCTGGGCAGCAAGGGCATGTGGTCTTCCAGGGTGGCCTCATTGTAGGGGCAGGTCCCACAGGCATCATCCCAGGAGGAAGCGGGGCCATGTTGGGTGCTTTCATTATACCAGAGTGAGGAGGACCTGGGAGGCTGGGGTCAGGTAGGATCGTGGCTCCTTCAGGAGGAGGAACAGAGAATGGAGCGGGTGGGTCTCTTTCCTTGTTGAAATGTGGCCACTGTTTTATCACCAGGCTTTGGGCCTGCTCTTCCATCCATTGGGGATGGGATGTCTTTCACGTTCCTTTTGTTTCCTACTGCTGCAGTGTCTTCCTCACAGACTGAGTCATGGTGAGATATGTGTTGCAGTAATCATAATAAACCACTGCTACCCTGCCAGATTCCAGCCCCCCACCCCTTTTTTTAGACAGGGTCTCATTGTGTAGACCAGACTGGCCTTGAACTCACAGAAATCTGCTTGTTTCTGCCTCCTGAGTGCTGGGATTAAAAGCGTGCACCACCACTCCCAGCCTCTGGCAGGCTTCTTAAGATGCTATTTTGCTGCTTTTGAACAAAGTGATTATTCTAGACTTAGATGAAGGGCAGCTTTATGGTATATTCAAAGTTCATAGCAGGTGTGGGGTAGGAAAAATGGAGAGCATGTGCAAGGGCTGGGGATAGTTTGGTGGGTGACAGTGACTGTTGCACAAGTGTGAGGACCTGGGTTTGAATCCCGAAAACCCACATAAAAACTGGCTGTGTGGGGGCTGGATAGGTAGTTCAGCAGCTAAGAGCACTTGTTCTGATAGGATCTGGGTTTGGCTCCCAGCATCCAAACAAGGGCTCACAACCATCTGTAATTCCAGTTCCAGGGAAGCTAATATCCTCTTCTGGCTTCCTTGGGCACCAGGCACACTTGAGGTGCACAGACATACATTCAGGCAGAATACTCATACACATCAAATGAATCTTTTTAATTTAAAAAGTCTTAAAATAAAAACTGGTCATGTAGTGTAGTGTCTGCAATTCGAGGAGATGGGAGGTGGAGACAGCAAAATCCCGGAAGCTTAGGGCCAGTTAGCCTGGTCCACACAGTGGAAAGACAACAAAGAAACTCATCTCAAACCAAGTAGAAGGTGGGACAAACACCTGAGGTTGGCCTCTGACTTCTGTACGTACACTGTGGCACACATGTGCCTGCAGTCACGTATGTGAATGTGTATGCACACATACATCACACACCCACCCACACATCCTACACACACTAACACGGTGAGCAGTTCAATCTGAACATAATATGAGGGTATGTAGTAAGGAATATTTGGTGGATTAGGCAAGAAAAAGTGAAGCACTTACTCCTTTAATCCTGCTGTCATTGCTGCTTTGAAGCAGGCTACACACCTAACACAGACGGCAGTAGACCTGGTGTCTTACACACCTAACACAGACGGCAGTAGACCTGGTGTCTTACACACCTAACACAGACGGCAGTAGACCTGGTGTCTTACACACCTAACACAGACGGTAGTAGACCTCGTGTCCTGCTCACCTAACACAGCGGTAGTAGACCTCGTGTCTTACACA